TCCCCAAACGAATGGTTGTGATTTGAGGGCTGCTTGTACAGTATTAAAAAAAAAAAAATTGGTTTGCCCTTTATCTCAAGTAGACTCCCTGCTTGCTTTTCTTTCTCATTCTCACGGTTCCCATCTTCATTTATGGATAATGGCTTTGATGCTTCATTTCCTGGTGGAGTACCACTTTTTTATCTTCTTGCCTCTCACTTCTCCCCGCTTCTAGAGAGAGCAAGAAGCATATTGTCAGAGCACTTTTGAAATTCAAAATATGCTCAGTTCAACCCTTACCCTAAGCCTGCAAAGAGAAGTGGCCGTTCAATGCACATTCTCCCACCTTGCGCTCTCTCTCTCTCTGTGTGTGTGTGTGTGTGTATGTATGTGTGTGTGTGAGAGAGAGAGAAAGAGAGAGAGAGAGAGAGAGAGAGAGAGACGCCAAGATTAAAGGAAAGGAATGGCATCAGTCAAAACGAATTATTCCTGTCTGCGCTGGTTTAGGATCTAACAAGGCTCCCTATCTCGCAATTGGGAGGGGGGGGGGGAGACAAGAGGCATCGGAAAGCTGGAATTAAATCCACTAAAATTCATTCGCAGCGCTTTCCACTTGCGCGGCTTTAGGATCGGATCCCTCCAAGGCTGTTTGATTCGTTCTCGCCAACTGGAGCTAGGCAGGAGAGGAGGCGCCCAGAGGGAGAACCATCACAAGCAGAGAAGGGATCGGCCATTCTGCAGTTCCCACGTGCTGGGCTTTAGGATCGAAATAATAAACCAGGCTCCCCATCCTCGGAGCTCGACTGGCTGGCTGGCTGGAGAGAAAGCCTGCCCGGGTCTCTCTCCTCCCCGAAGCCAAGCTGGGCCAATGATGGACGAGCAGGCGCTTCGGAAGGGCGAGGGAGAGAAGAGAGGGGAAGGGAGCCTGGGCAGCGGGAACGCGCGCCGCCGTCGTGCGCGCGCTCCCCAGAGCTTGGCTCTGTTTGCTGCCGAGCCTGGGCAGAGGAGCGTCCCCGGCTCACCCGTCGCCTCGCCCGAGGAGGCTCCGGAGCCGAGCCGCTGACCTCTTGGTGCCCCCCCCAAGGGACGCTCCCGAAGGAAGGCGAGGGGCTGAGCGGCTGGATCGGCGCAAACCATCCTGGGCGACCTCCGCAGTGTGCTTGGTTGGCGGATTTGAGCATCCCCTTTGCCTCTGGTTTTCTTCCCGGGGCTGGCCCGGTGGCTTCTTCCTCTTCGTCTTCCTCTTCCTCTTCTTCCTCTCTCCTTCTTGCGAATCAAATCTTGGCGCCATGGGGAGACGGTCCTGGGCGTTCTTTATCTTCTGCTTTCTCTGCTTCCTGCTGGCAAAGTCCCGGCTGCAGGATAAGCAGTGGCGGGAGAAGAGCCTGACGTGAGGGGGTCGAGAGGAAGGCGAAAGAAGCCCCCCCCAAACGAAAAACAACCACCACCACAACAACACCCACCCACCCACCCACCAACCCCAGATCTGCAGGCGCTCTTCGTTGCTTCCCTGCTCCTCCATTAAGGAAGTTGGAGGTAAGAGGGACCGGGGAAGATTTGGGGGGGGGGGTTAGGATCGGAGCGATCCGCGCTGGCCCTTCCATCAAAGGCGTCTTGGGGGCTCTCCCTCCGCTTCCTCCGGGAGAATCTTGGCGAAAGGGGCCAAGAGAAGAAAGCTAGGTGGGAGAGGCATCTGCTTTCTAGGAAAACCCGTTCGGTGTAGTTGGGAGAATGTGGCCAGGTTGGAAGGAGACGCTGCCCCAGCAAAGTATGGATTCTGGTTGTTTTTTTTTGTTTGTTTGTTTGTTTTTTTTTAATCTTCCAGCCTGTAGCCATTCTTCCCAAAGCGTAGCCAGATCCTTGGGCAACAGCCTGGCGCAGGACAGTGGCTTAAGGAACACCAGCTTGGTTTTATATGAATGAAACTGGAAGTGGAGGACCATCAGGCACAGCTGTAAATCTCTCTCTCTCTCTCTCTCTCTCTCTCTCTCTCTCTCTCTCTGTGTGTGTGTGTGTGTGTGTGTGAGAGAGAGAGAGAGAGAGAGAGAGAGACCCCTCCCCTTGTTTCTCCCCCCCCCATTTCCTTGAGTCTTCTGAGAGAAGGGTGGTGGTGGATGGAACAAATTGCTTACAATGTAGAGAGGTTTTTAGTCTGCTTGTAACTCGTTCAGCCCCCATGGGGACGAGTGATAAATTGATGGCAGAGAGGGGGGAAACTGCTTATAGCCCGCTGTTTCTTTGCTTTTTGTTTTTAGGACAATAGAACGAGGTTGGTGTGTTTGTCTGTGTGTGTGTGTGTGTGTGTGTGTAGCTTCCTCAGAATTTGGAAAAGGTAGAATAGTGGAGAGAATCTCAGAGACAGGCCAAGCCCTTTGGACTTTCTCTTAAGGAAACTGTATGGAATAAAATTCATAATTCTGACAAAGTCCTCGGTTTGTTTGCCCCCCCTCCGCCCCGTGAAACAAACAGACACACCGAAGCTGGCAGCTGAGATGGAGAAGAAAACCTTTGGCATCCTTACCCCCGGAGGGCTTTGAGTTCTTTTGCATTTGTTCCCTGCTAAAGGTCCTCCATTTTTTTATTAACAACAAGGTGGGCATGTTTTAATACCTGGACCTGCAGACCGTTCTGCTGCAAAGCTGTGTTGGGTTTTGTTCCCCTCTGCCAGTGATCCTGGATGGATAGTTGCAAACATGTGTGCTGCAGTCATAAATCTGGATGGGTTTCTCTCTCTCTTTCTCTCTCCCCCCCCCCTCGCTCTTTTGGCCCTTATAATTTGGGTTTCTTCTTCCCACCCAAAATTTCCCTTCTTCGCCCCTATTTATCTGATGCTCTGATTGCATAACAATCGTTACCCAAGTGGTGATTGGCAAAAGGAAGGGTTATGATGGCCAACCAAGAAAGCCTTTGAAACTTGACTGAAACTCAGCAGGGGACCAATATGGTCTAGGGGCAGAAAGCAATCCTCAAAAGTTAGATATCCAGGTGTGCAGCTGGTATGTGGTCAGACCTGTCAGTCTGCCCTAATCTTCTCCTTCTGGACAGCTAGATCTAGATGAAGTTTATTAGTCACACACTCCAAACTGGAAGCAGCAACTTCTGCCACCATCCCTTCCCCACACCCTTTGGGTTTGTGGTATTGCTTGGAGAAGACGTGATGCCTGTGCCAAGATTGCTTCCTAAGGATTTTTTTTTCCCCCAAATGCAAGGAGTTGCAGGCTTGCGATAAATGCTTGACTTGAGTAAGCCCCTAGCAAATTATGTTGTGCCCCCTCCCTCTTGTTCCCCCCCCCCCGATGGCTGGAGAAGAGTAAATAAAAATCATATTGACAGCTGCCAGCAGAAAATCTTCTACCTGCCCTGGGACTTACAGAAATGCTGAGGTCCAGAAGCCAACAGCCAAGTATCTGTGTCCTTGTGAAATATACTGGTAGGAAGTACTCCACTCCTGTCTTGGAAAGCCAGTAAGATCAAAGGAGGAGGAAGAGGAGGAGTCCTTAGAAAAACCAGTTTGGGTGCTGTACAACCCCCCCCCCCTTTGCTTGAGCCACAAAAATGGGGAGGGGAGGGGGAAAATATACATTTTAATCTGAATTGTATATTGTATATCTGAGAAGTGGCTTTGGGCTTTCATTCGAGAACCGAGCTTGCTCTAATGTTCCTACCGTTTTTTGTGGAACAATGTTGAGCCAGGATGTGTAAGCCGTTTTAATTTGCCTTAGGGAGAATGGCAGAAAGACAGAGGGGTACTTCTTGTAATTACTTAAAAGGCTCATATGTGCGTGGTCACAGCCCTGGAGCATTCTGCATGGTTAGCTAAAACCTCTACATTGGATGCAGTGGTGAGGAGGAGAATGTAAACAATGAGGTGGGAAGGGTACAGTGAGAAAGGAAGTGTCTTCGCTAATGCTTATGTTGTTTTCCTCCTGGCTTACTTGTATGACTGTGTGTTTCTAGCAGGAGACCACACATGAATTGGACGTAGCATGTGATGGCCCACAAAAAAAAAAAATCACGTTTAGCTTGCTAAGTTGGATTCTGTGTACCTTTGGGGTGTATGTGTGTGCTATGAGCATTGCTTCTTAGCAAACATGTTGAAGACTGCACCACTAATCATTGGGCTGTTGTAACCTGAATGTAATCATATCAAATAAGGATTGGATAGCAAGCTGTTCTCTCTCCTTCCCTTCCTTGTATTCCCACCTGGGGGGGTGGGAAACCATAGTCAAAAATACATCCGCTCAATTGATAGAATCGAATAACAGTGAACAGGGATAAAGTGTTTGAAAGCGTAAGATGCTGATTGTAGCAATGGTAGTAGCGATGTTGATAGTAAATTACGAATCTAGGAAAACTAGGACCTTTACTTTGAAAAATGTGGGCGCAGAACCTGTGAGTTTTGTACACATAGGCTAAAGTTGCTTTTGCACATATATGTTGGCAGGCAGTTTTATAAAGTCTACAAAGAAGTAAGGATTGTTAAGTTCAAGGCTTACTCTCAGAGTTGGGAATTTGTAGGCTTATGAGAAGAGGTTTGAGACATGTCTGTCCCAACACGTTTGGATAAAATTAATAACAAATCTTTATAGGAGCTGTTTCTCTATTCTGTGTAACTCCAGTCCTATTATGTTCTGTGTAGCTATGGAACTCTGCAATTATTGTTTCGATTAATCCTTAATTCTGTACTTGGGACACAATATGCACATTGAACAAATATTGCTTGGTCTGTTTTAGAAAGAGAATTAGATAATGTTTTGTTTCTTTTCTCTTTCAAAGAGTAACTGCAAGCAAATTCATTTCCTTGTGAATATAATCTTGCAATATAGTGGTTAATGCTGGGGCCTGCGAAGATAGGGTTATCAGATCTGGGCTGCCTAAATTGAGACAGTTCCTAGGGGGCAGCAAAGAGCTGGCTTTCTGTGTCTCTTGTCTACCATCTAGTGGTCTGGATTTTTGCAGCCCTCATATCATAGCTCATGACTAATGATGCATTTAACCCCTCCCTCGGTCTCAGCCTGGTCCTCTCCTACAATCATGAGAAGCCTAACATTGATACCCATGGTCATCGTTCAAGTTCACCATAAACCTTAAACCAAGTGAATGAAATTCAGGGTGTAATTATTTACATTAAAATTATTTTTAATAATTTTTTACCCCAAATTAATTAAGGGATTACAGGATCATAAAAAGAGAGTTTCATCTGATACACTTACTTTAAAAATGTCCTGCTTTCTGTGTAAAGATATGGCTTATGATAACTACATATTTGTTTTTATTTTATACATCGGCATAGAACTGGAGCAAAGCATTCAGGGTGAACTGCAGCCCTTCCTACCTACCATGGAGGCCCATCAGGAGTCTTCCGTGTTCCTGGTGAACATCTTGGAGGAACTGGATACTAAGCAGAACTCCGTTTCCTATCAGGACCTTTGCAAATCATTATGTGCTCGATTTGACTTGTCCCAACTGGCCAAGCTAAGGAGCGTGCTTTTCTATACGGCCTGCCTGGATCCCAATTTCCCAGCCACTTTGTTCAAGGACAAAATGAGGTGCAACGTCAACAGTCAACAGTCAAAGAAGATTATGGTAGCAGCTGACATTGTGACCATCTTCAACCTCATACAGATGAATGGGGGCATGGCTAAGGAAAAGCTGCCCACCACACGAGAGAAAATAAGGAAAAAAGATTCACTGGACTCTTGCCGATCAGATACCGAGGTGTGCAACACGATGGACTGTGTGGTTAACTGTGAACTGCAAGATGGAGAGTTCAGCAGGGGTTATTCCAGCAAGAGAGCTTCCAAATGCAGAAAGGGTGATTGCAAAGACTGTCCTCCGTTTGTACCCACTTCAGAGATGAACATTTTGCTGGGGGTGAATAAGGACATGAAAGGCCGAACAGCTTCTCTTGACCGGCTGCAAGCTTTGGCAACCTACACCATGGCCAGTTCTCCTCCCTGTGAAATGCAGAGCACTTACTTCCCCATGAACATTGAAACTGAGTCCATCTCAGACCAGGAATCCCTGCCTCCCAGCACGAGCATGAAGGAATCCTTCATTCCAAGCGACGAGCCCTTTTTGATGCAGTCATGTGTGCAGAAGCGCAACATCTTCAAAGAAGACTTCCATAATCTCATCACCATTTCACCCAGCTTGATGTCGCCGCCAGGCAAAGTGGATGATGAGCTTGGGGAACCCCCAAGCCAAAAAGAGACCTCCAAGCAGACGTTCTTCAACCACAGCTTTGAAATACCCTACAATAACCAGTATCTGAACCCAATTTATTCTCCTGTTCCAGATAAGAGACGAGCCAAGCACGAAAGCTTAGATGATCTTCAAGCTTCTACATATTTTGGCCCAACAACTATTCTTGGGCCTCAAGAGACAAAACGGTGGTTGGGAAAGCCAAGCAAATCAACGCCGTGGCCAGTCAAGAGTTGGAGTTTGAACACAGAGGAAGTGCCTGATTTTGAAAGATCCTTTTTTAACAGGAAACAGCCAGAAGAGAAGGTGCAGTACCACAGTTCAAAGAGTCAGCCACCCAACTTTCCTGCTTCTGAGAGGCATCAGCAATATCTCAGCTCTAAAGAACAGCAGTCCATGATGCAGCCCAATTATGGGGTCAAACCAAATGGGCATAAATCCAAAGATATCCCCTCCATCTTAGAAGTAGACAAGCACGAGCCCATCAAAAAATTTAAAGACAAAAGCATTAATTGCACTGCTCTTCAGCTTCAAAGCATTGACAAAACCAGTAATGTTGGGACGCAGACAGATCGGCAAGGACTGGAACACAAAAAATTCAAGGAGATGACCCACCCAAACCAAAGTAAGTATGGTGAGCGACACTCCTTGAAGCAATCTGATGACGACTCTGAAATTGTCAGTGATGACATCAGCGATATTTTCAGATTTCTGGATGATATGAGCGTCTCTGGGTCTACAGGAGTGATACAATCTTCTTGTTACAACAGCACGGGCTCGCTTTCTCAGATCCACAAATCTGACTGTGAAAGTTCCCCCGAACACCATTTAGGTAAAATTTCCAACGGAAATGCTGGCCACAACCTAGACAAAGCCTCCCGGCTGGAGATCAGCAGCACAGATGACGAGCTGAAAACCAGCGTCTGCAAACTGGTCCTAAGGATTGGGGAAATTGAAAAGAAACTGGAATCCCTCTCCAGTGTCAGGGATGAAATTTCTCAGGTCCTGGGGAAGCTAAACAAACTGGATCAAAAGATCCAGCAGCCAGAGAGTGTGAATGTCCAGCTTGATCTTAATTCCTTGACCAGTGAGATTCCATCGGAAGACAGCACCTCCCCCAGGATTTTTTCATGTCACAATTCGTCACACGGGGGCAAGCTGGAAAATAATCCAGACTGGTGCTGCTCGGATGCCAGCGGCAGTAACAGCGAAAGCCTTCGTGTCAAAGCCTTGAAAAAGAGCTTATTCACCAGGAGGTCCTCGAGATCTTTAACGGAGGAGAATAGCGCCACTGAATCTAAGATTGCAAGTATTTCTAACTCTCCTAGAGACTGGCGCGCGATCACTTATACCAACCAAGCTGGCATCACGGAGGAAGAGATGAAAGATCGAAGTGGGAATGAAAACAAAGACTGGCATCGGAAATCCAAAGAGGTAATTCCTTTCTTCCCCAGTTTCAACTCAATCAATAATATGTATTTCATTAATAAATAAATTCAATCAGTTTTTGCACAGAGCTACAGTTGAGGTGTTCTCCGAAGCTCCTAATACTAATACTCCTGTGTCCAAAGCACCAAAGAGGTGAAAAGATTTGCCGATGACATCACTGATGCCCAGTTGGGGGCTCCCTTAGCATCTCCATGAAGATGCCCACCAAAGGGGGGTCCATTAATCTACTTGTAGTCACCCACTTTCGGACCACTGGGTTGGAGGGAGCGGGAGCGTGTGACGGGAGCTCACTCCACCCCCACAGCAGCAACGGGTCTCCAACACTTTTTTGAGACAATGTTTTTACTCCTTTTATTATTATGTCTGTGTAAAGAAGCAGACATTTAAAACAATGAAAGGCTGGGTAACATTTTTGTGTTTGTTTGCCAGTCTTGATTACTGGCAACTACCTAGAGTAGCCACTTTAGTTTTCTTGGGAAGATTTTGGAAGGGGTTTGCCATTGTCTCCTTCTCAGGGCTGAGAAAGACTGGCCAAAGACTGGCTTTGTGCATAAAGGAGAGCTAGAATTCATAGTCTCTTGTTTTTAGCCTGATGCCTTAACCTCTACTCCAAACTGTGTCTCTTTGGGTGTAAATGGGTATGTTTAAAAATGTGGAAAAGCTTGAAAGTGCACGCAGGATCTCCTTTGCACATCAAACCCTTCATGCTGAACCCTTCCAGAACAAGCATGCATGCATGTTTCCATTGTTGTCCGATCAGAATCCACTTTCCACTAAGGATCCCCACCCGACTTTCATACCTTGTTGCAGGCCGATCGGCAGTATGAAATCCCTCAGCCATATCGCCATTCCAAACCACCCAAAGACGGTTTCCTGATAGAGCAAGTCTTTAGCCCTCACCCTTATCCAGCATCACTCAAATCACATATGAAGACCAACCCTCTTTACACAGACATGCGCTTGACAGAGCTGGCTGAAGTGAAACGAGTACAGCCTTCGTGGACCGTTGAGGAATACACAAGGAATTCGGGAGAGAAAGGGAAGCTAGCTTCTTTGGACCTACAGGTGAGATATATTATTTCCTCTTCCTGGGGATCTGCTTCCGTCTAGGCCAGGGGTAGGCAACCTTGGCTCTTTTATGACTTGTGGACTTCAACTCCCAGAATTCCTGAGCCAGAATGGGGGAACGATGGCCCCTTCATGACTCGTGGACTTCAACTCCCAGAATTCCTGAGCCAGCATGGCTCAGCTTGGAAATCTCTCTCTTTCCCCTCAGCGTGGCTGGCTCAGGAATTCTGGGAGTTGAAGTCCACGAGTCATAAAAGAGCCAAGGTTGCCTACTCCTGGTCTAGGCAGATCCTACTGAAAATGGGGTATGACTAATAAATGATCAGTAAACAATTGAGGGCTCCGTATTAAATGTCTCTAATTGCTTTGACCCTTGTCACCCATTGCTATGATACTAAGAGATGTCACCCAGTGCAGTTGGCTAGCTAAAAACAGCAACAGTTCTATGCTATGTTACATCAATCATGACCATCTTCAGAGCCCCCCCCCCCTTAAAACAGATTCATACAAACAGAAACAGTTTCAGAGGAGGGCAACAAGGAAGATTGCTGGAGTGGAAGCTAAGAGAGTCAAAAAAAGAATGGAAATTGTTTAGTTTTCAGAAGAGGTGATACAGTGGCACTCTTCTAGTATCAAAAGAGGGTCACCCAGAAGAAAACTAGGGCTTCTTCTATCATCCTAGAAGAATGCTCTTGTTATGATTGCTCCAAAAAGGCAATTCCCAACCAGAAAGAATAAGAGCAGATAAAACCATAGAGCCAATATTAAACCAAAGTGACCTGTTCTCTTTCTTAGCATGCATGCAACAGAAGAGTGAGAGGCATCTTTTTTGAAAGGGGTGCATGCTTCTATTTGGACTCCTCAACTGAACACAAAATTCAACTGCACAACCTTGATGGCCCCTTCCAGCTCTGACCTTATGGAAGAATTCCACATTGCTTATTAAATATGTCATATATTTATTTCTTGGCTTTTTTTTGAGCCATGATCATGCAGTGGTTAGAATGCAGTATTGCAGGCTAACTCTGCTCACTGCCAGGAGTTCAATCCTGACCGGGTCAAGGTTGATCCAGGCTTCCAGCCTTCCGAGGTTGGTAAAATGAGGACACAGATTGTTGAGAGAGCAATATGCTGACTCTGTAAACAGGTTAGAGAGGGTTGTAAAGCACTGTGAAGCGGTATGTAAGTCTAAGTGCTGTTGCTAACTCTGCCCACAGCCAGCAGTTCGATCCGGACTGCCTCAAGGTTGACTCAGCCTTCCATCCTTCCGAGGTTGGTAAAATGAGGACCCAGATTGTTGGATGGAATATGCTGACTCTGTAAACCACTTAGAGAGGGCTGTAAAGCACTATGAAGCAGCCTATAAGTCTAAGGGCTGTTGCTATTGCTATTTTTATAAATTGGTGCCATTCCCCACTCATTTTTGTCAACCCAAATTTGGCCCCTGTTTTGATTTGGGCTCTTGATGAGAACCACCCTCAGGTGTCAGGATGCAAAACCCCGACGGGCTCTGATGATGCTGGCTTTCCACAATGCAGCTTTTCTTTAGGATATCGTGGGGATTTAAAATGGCTACTCCTAGCCAGCTGGCCTCTGGAGGCTACCTAAGCTTCCATGGACTGATGGTAGGCCTTGCTACCATCCACAGCTGATGAAACAGGCTGCAATTGATGGCTTGCCAGTCGTACAGGTTGGCTATCATCCCAAATTCCGGAGGGACTTTTTTTTTTTTTTTTTGGGAAACCACAGTTATCTTCCTGCTGATCTCCCTGTAGACAAGATACTTCTTGCAGCTTCTATTGCTCAGGTGTCAAGATTTGGAATTGATCAGCCCCTTGGTGCACCAACAGACTTGAGTGGCGGAAAGGTTCAGTCACAAGGTGTTGCTACGATTTGACTCCAGGGCATCTTGTCAGCTGTTTTTAGCAAGGCTGCCAAATTAAAAGCAAGAAGAATTGCAACAACGGCATGTGAGATTGCCGCTTTAGAGTGAGTCTCCCTGCCTGCCTTGGTAAATTTGGGAGCAGGACAGTCACGGGAACTGTGATGGTTAGAGCTAGCTCTGAGACTGCACAGGCTGCAGCCTGAGCTTTCCATTTTTCTTTTGAAAAAAATCAGAAAGCTTTCAAATACAATAGTTTTTCTTTCCATCCTGCTAACTGTCACCCTGGCCCGAGATGCTGCTATCAAAATCACAATATACTGCCTCCAGATCCTTGGTGATCCACGAGCCTTTTTTCATTTTCGCAGATTTCCTGTTTATTTGGGATTGAAAATTGAACCATACAGTCACATTGGGCCTCTTACAGATATATCTTAACCGGAAAACCCAACACTCAACATTTAAAATTAAAATTGCAGCATGTTTTTTTTTTTAAATTGGGGACCAATGGAATAAGTTCATGCTGCCTACAACTGTAAAACAGATTAATAATAACAGAATGTTATTTTATTGGAATTATTTGCTGCAAATCTCTGGAAATTGAGGGCAATAAGATGGACCAATCTTCATTTCATCTGATTTTTTTTTTAAAAAAAAAAAACCCATAGTCCTTTGATTGCCAAAACACAAGAGCATTGTTCAGAATAAATTATTTTCACTTTCGTAGGGGGCTTTGAAGTCCTATTTTCTCCCAGGCACTGAGCCAGGATGCTACCTGAACTACATATACACTTTTGGAGTTAATTGTCTCTGGTGCTATGTGTTTTTATGGATGCCTTATTTTGCATTTTGATACTTTTAAAAATTGGGGGCTTTAAAAACTGATTGAATGTATGAATGAATGAACGAACAAACAAACAAACAAATCTATTTTTCTCCCCCCCCCCCGAGTTGCATTGGGTGAAAATGAATATGTTTTTATACTTCTTTCAGTAAAAAGGAATTTTGGAGACTGATACCTTTCCCAAAGAAAAATGGGGAAAAATCGGATCTTTTACAAATGCCGTTTCTTTCATTCATGTATAAGCCACCTCAACTGCCAAAGTAACTTTAGATGACATGCAATAAATTAATACATTTTCATAACAAAAGAAAACCAATAAACCAGCAAAAAAAAACGACCCAAGAGAATATTTGAACTGTGGTGTCCTTGATGCTCTCTTGAGTGTGGTTTCTTTTTCTGCAGATCTTTCATTACCCAACTCAGTAACTATCGTAAGCAAACACCACTGTCGGCTGCCAACTGATGCTTGCTTGTGGTGCTTTGCTACCATGTGGTGACAGTCTGCCATGAACTCTGGGGAGAGGGATGGAATACTTGGGGGAAAGCGAAAGTAATAACTGCTGTATCTCCCCGAGATGCTGCTTCAAGGGTCACCAGCTGGGAGAAGAATTGCAGCTGCACACCAACTAGGTTTGAAGTGTCCATTCTCAAAACATGTTACTTAAACCTGATTGGTCATGGGGGGGGGTCAGTGATGGGAGCCAGTTCAGGGAGTTGAACTTAGGGATTTTGTCATATGATTCTCAGTTCTGGCTATGCATTTCTTGAAAGACTTGACTTCTAATAAAATTATACTTTCTCAATAAATGGAGCCAAGGATCGTTTCTATGTAGAAGTTTAAGTGCTGACAGGTCTGACACCTATCCACTTCCAGCAGTGATAATAATAATAAAGTTGGAAGGGACCTTGGAGGTCATCAAGTCCAACCCCCAGGCAGGTAACCCTATACCATTTCAGACAAATGGCTGTCCAGTCTCTTCTTAAAAACTTCCAATGCTGGAGCATTCACAGCTTCTGGAGGTAGGTTGTTCCACTGGTTAATTGTCCTCACTGTCAGGACGTTTTTCCTTAGTTCTAGGTTGCTTCTTTCCTTGATTAGTTTCCATCCGTTGCTTCTTGTCCTGCCCTAAGGCGCTTTGGAAAATAGCTGATGATGTTATCTATTTAGGTAATGAAAGAAAGAAAGCAAACAACCAAGCTCAGAGCACACCCAGGATCCTGCAAACTATATTTTAGCCTAGCATGCTGGATTGATCTACCCAAATTGTGAAGTTGGCATATTTTTGCTCAGCTAGCTAATGATGTATACAACCAGCGAACGATTTATGGTGAGACAGGAAGAAATCTAACAGATGGAGAAACTATCTTTTAATGTCCCCCCCCCCTTTTTTTTGTTTTTAATTTCAGACTCAAGAATCTTTGAATCCCAACAATTTAGAATATTGGATGGAGGACATCTATACACCAGGGTACGATTCGTTAATAAAACGCAAGGAGGCTGAATTCCGAAGAGCGAAAGTTTGTAAAATATCTGCTTTGATTGCAGCAGCTGCTTGTACGGTTATTTTGGTCATTGTGGTCCCAATATGTACTATGAAATCGTGAATCCCACGGTGGTCGAATCAACACCTGCCTTGTACAGATCTTTGCTTTGGATAGCCCATGGATGTTTTAACACACTACTCTATGGCAAAAAAAAAAAACAAAAAACCCCAACCCAACTTTCCCACTAGTTGGGAAGGATACATCGGATGATCCCAACAAGCAAGCATGCAAAGAATTTTAGGTGTTTCTTTTTTCTTTTTTTTTTAAATGTATTTATTTTAAAGAAAAAAAGTACAACATCCTTTTAAACCAGCAACAAGCCTCACAGACTTAACGGTGCCTCGGTTTAAATTTTTACACGTGGATTTTCCCTGCACCCTCTGAAGATAAGAGAAAATATTTCCTGCAACTGGAAATGGATGAAGAGCAAAAAAAAAAAAAAGTGTTTGCCTCCCTCTTCTTTCCTGTACTTTTATACTGAATTATATATAGATGACTCTTAATCCTTGTACAATATGCATTTATCACCCAGAGAGCAACACTTAGCGTTTCCTGACATGTACACTGTCTGAATGTATTGTGTATCCCATTTTGTCACACGCTCCTTATGGGTTAGCTTTCGAAAACAGAGTGTGTGACCCTGAGGAGATTGTGTGTTCCTACATTTGGAATTAATAAGGGCTGTTTGTAATCTGGTCTTGCCCTACAAGTTCCTTTGAGATTGTCCCGGGGTACAGAGGTCAAGTGCCATCTGCTGTACACCAAAAAAGGTTGTGTTGAACAAGCCCTTTCTGAGAGGGAACATTTGCATAAATGTCACATTTCAAGAAAAACCTGCCATATGCCCTGCAGTCCTTCGATTCTGGTTTTGGTTGTTGTTTTTTACCTCCGCAAATGGTACCTAAATGCCTTCCTTTCATCCTGTTTTGGTCATCTGAAATCGAATGACTTCCGAGAAGTGCTTCTTGGGCTTGGCACTATGAGCAAGAAAGTGAAAACGTTCTAGAAATCCACCCTGGTTCCTTTTACCTGTTGAAGGAGGCCATTTTAAACGAGAATAATTGTGAAGGCAAATATGTGTGTCCTAGGAAGTGATGGCGAACCTTTTAGAGACTGAGTGCCCAAACTGCAACCCAAAACCCGCTTATGCATCGTTGAGGGCCGGGTTGGATGTGGCCCATTGAGTGGGTGTGACCCATTGGGTGGGCATGGCTGCAGTGGTAACGGCATTAAAAAGTTCAATCAATTCCAACTTTGCAAGATCTTTTTTTCCCCGCGAGAAGTTGAAATTGATTGATTGATTGAACCTTTTTTTTTTTTGCACACGGTGGCGGAGGCTTAAAACTAAAAGGTTTTATAAAACCCAGCTGAAGGCCTAGGACTGGGGCGACAGCGCGTGTGCCCACAGAGAGGGCTCTGAGTGCCGTCTCTGGCTTCCGTGTCATGGGTTCGCCACCACTGTCCTAGGATAATATTGCAGGATCCAACATGAGCAAAAGAGAGAGAGAGATTAGAGACAAGTTGCCTGAAGATGGGCTCCAGATTGAGTCTGAAAGCTCAGAAGGCAAAACCTCTGGTTTTGGTGACCAACCCAGATTGGATCCTGTAGCACAGAGGTCCCCAACCTTTTGGACACCAGGGACCGGTTCTGTGGAGAGCAGTTTTTCCGCAGACTGGAGGGGGCATGGTTTTGTGTGCTGCCTCCATTCGGGGGATGGAGCTTTGCTTGTTTGTGTGGACCGGTTGCTGGCATGCCGTTGCCCAGTACCCGGTCCATGGACCGGGGATTGGGGACCCCTGCTGTAGCACCATTGTTGATGTACACAAAGGGAACAAACAGTCATAATTCACACTTTAGTACAGGGGAGCAGGTCATCTGTCATGGAGTCCTTCTATACGAAACTCATTTTAGACCATTTTTGGCAATACAGTATATATCTTAAGCCAGGGGTCTTCAAACTTGGCCCTTTTATGACTTGTGGATTTCAGCTCCCAGAATTCCTCAGCACAGCGTGACTGGCTGAAGAATTCTGGGAGTTGAAGTCCACAAGTCATAAAAGGGCCAAGTTTGAAGACCCCCTACCCTCTATCTTAAGCCCTGACTCAAATATGTAGAACACCTGGCTATGTATGGGTGGGCAAGGTATTCTGCAGCTAGGCATAAAGTGGTGCTTCTCCCAATGTATCTTTCGAACATGTTCATTTGAACCCCTCTTTTGTAAGAAGCATCTTATGCCTTTCAAAATGCGAACCAATAGGATTGTAGTGGTGTCCCCCTGCATTTGGCCACCAGATTTTCATTTTTTTAAAAAAAAAAAATCACAAAACTTGAGTGTTCACCCAACACAACTAACCAAGTTCACCTTAACCAAAGTGGCTAAGGTACTGTGCATGTCCCAAAAATGGGTGAAGCCAGTTACCAGGTTAAGCAGCTTAGGCAAATGCAGACCAGGATCAGACCAGCAATATGACACCCTTGAGAGCCAACTAGCATATTTTGTATTCTTCATACATATCACTTAGATCAGTGGTTCTCAACCTTTCTAATGCCGTGACCCCATAATACAGTTCCCCATGTTGTGGTGACCCCCAAGTGGGTGTGGCCACCAATAAGAGGGAGTAGGACAGCTAGGGAAAAGGGAAAAAATGGCGGACAGCCTTGTTTGGCGACCCCCGTGAAATGGTCGTTCGACCCCAAATGGGGTCCCGACCCACAGGTTGAGAACCACTGACTTAGATGATTTTGATTTTTTTTTTTTTAAAATGTGCACCTTAGTAGATGATTTACTTCGGGAAGATGAATCTGCAGGGAGATGCTTATTAGATGCTTTGCAGTTGTTTTTTTGTTGATTGTAAACTTGTTGGCCAAGCAGGATTAATTCCAAACGATTTGTGAAGTGACTTCCAGTTCGGCCTCGTTAGTTATGGATCAATGGAAGTCTGGCCAATACTTCAGTGTGCTATCTTCAATGTGTTAACAGAAGGTGTTCATACTCACTCACTCCCTAGTTCCTTGCTCCATTCCAGCTAAATTAACAATGAGAAGTTCTATGGTTTCAGTTAGGAGTTGAGGCAAGGCTAGCTTTAGCTCACTTTGAAACCCTGAACCTGCTTCAGAGTGGAGCAACATGAATCATTGTAGCCTGCTGGTTGTGCAAATTGTTCAGGTTGCAGGGAGGTCTGATAGAAACCATAAAGACATTGGGAGAATTACGGAGTCATCAACCAACAATGCAAATTATGTCGTTTGTGTTAGCCACATCATTATGTAAAAAAAAAAAAACTACTTTGCACCATGATGTCATAATAGACATAGTGTCATCTACTACCTCTCCTTGTACATGCCCATCAAAATGGTAATCAAAGGGAATAAAGTGAATTAGATCGCATGTAATCATCCAATTCATGGTTCATCTATTCCAGCCTCTAGTCACAATACACCTGGAATACTGCAGCCAATTTTGGTCACCATATCACAAAAAAGATGTTGAGAGTTTGGAAAAAAAATCGAGAGAAAAGCAACTAAGATGATCAAAGGCCTAGAGACCAAAACATACGAAGAACAGCTGCGGGACTTGGGTTTGGCTAGTCTAAAGAAAAGAAGAAATAGGGGAGACATGATAGCAGTGTTCCAGTATCTGAGGGGCTGCCACAAGGCAGAGGTGGCCAGGTTGTTCACCAGAGACGTAGAGGGAAGGACGAGAAACAATGGTTGGAAACTGATCGAGGAGAGAAGCAACATGGAATTAAGGAGAAACTTCTTGACAGTGAGAAGAATTAACCAGTGGAACAGCTTTGCCTTCAGAAATCATGGGTGCTCTATCACTGGAGGTTTTTAAGAAGAGACTGGACAGTAACCTGTCTGAGATGGTATAGGTTAGGGTTGGACTAGGAGGGTTGGACTAGAAGACTTCCAAGGTCCCTTCCAGATTCTATTCTATTCTATTCTATTCTATTCTATTCTATTCTATTCTATTCTATTCTCCATTCCATATTCTATTCTATTCTATTCTATTCCTTTATTCCAATATAACCACTGTTGGCAAAGGTGTCTTTCACATCCAAGTTCTTTTATACCTGTATGAACCATTAATGATGGAAGTATCATATGTGAGGACAGCCTAAATTCAAGGGAGCAAGTCTGTCCTTCTTACTGGCAGTCTTCACTCCATACACTTGACCCAGTAAAAACACTTGCTGAATCGTTCTTGCAACCATCATCCTAACTGGATCCAAACCCATCATTTGGGAATAGGATCCCTGGCCATTTTCTCCAGGAACTGCCCAGCATTCATGAGCCCTGGCTATTGGAATTCTGGCTGAGGAATTTTGGGAGTTGAAGTCCACAAGTCAAAAAAGGGCCAAGTTTGAAGACCCCTGCTCTAGAAAGCTGAGGAAGTTAACAGGGAAAGAGAGATTTGTTTTCAAGAAGATTTGCTTTTATTCCACCATTGTTGCACAGCCTGCTCTTTCTGCTACGTGTTTTTATTTCTGCTATGTATTCCAACAGAAATGCATAAGTTCCTGGGCCCTTATGTTAATGACCCAAGTTTCACCCACAAATGGGAAATGTTGATATTCATATGGTACACACTTCATTAGGAATTAATGCTGTGCAGAAAAGATCTGCATAACGAGTGTTATTTTTTAAAGAGAGAAGAAAACAGTCATCTGTGGATTCCTAATGTTTTTTTTTCAAAATGACCAAAACAGCATGACACAATCACGTCATAAGCTCTGCCTGTTTGAGAGTGTGTGATCTTATGACATCTAAAAAAGAGGTACTGCAACTTTGTGGGGATACTTTCAGATTCACCCGATTACTTTCCATATTCTTGTCATCTCAACAACGTTAGAAATGTTTTTAGTTTGGAGGAGCTATCCCACACAGTCAATGTATCTGTGGACAATTCATATGGGGACTTTGGGTTGGTCCACATCCAGACACAAAACATTTCATAGGGAATGTCTACCTACAGCTGATTAAAGGTTTGAATGCCACGTGCCCAGGCTGGTCTCCCTTGCTGGATCAAGGTGGCAACAGAATGGGATGAATAAAAATTCAACTTCCCACCAAGATTTGTAATTCAGGAAAGGTGGTTCTTGATTTTTTTTTAATTTTGATTTTTGCATAGTAAGGCAGCAGTAGCTTGCCTTTCCTACATTGTGTTTAGTATTGTGTACCATTTGTGTCAATATCAGCAACAACAGTAATAATACAGCTATAGATACTTTATAATCCGTGGTGTGATTGGAAAAAAAATGTACTGGACAATATTACAATAATGCCAAGCATATTAATATTTTCTCTTTTTTTGTATGTATGCCTTATGAATAAAACACAGAATAAAAGGGTAA